TCTGTGTACACAATATACTGTTCCTACTACTCTGGCCTTCCCAAGACTTCTCATTAAGATCGCTGTTGCTAGGGTTTAACTCACTTAACCCCCTGCGATAAGTCCATGGGGTTGTGTTCCCAGCCTATAGGATTTTTCATTTTGAAAAGAGAAATTAAAATGGATGATCTGCGCAGGCATTTTCGGACTGTTGGTTCATTGGCCCCTGCCCCTATAACTGTAGCTTCTTTCTCGTGGACGTTTTTATCTCTGACGATGGACGCCAGTAAGAGTTCGGAAGCTCAGGAGAATAAAACTATAATTACGGTGATCAAAACCCCTTCTTTTTTTCTACCTAAGTCCACGGACTATCGGGTGTGAAAATGCACGCGCAAGAACTCCCCATTGTTGTTCATCCCACAGGCCAATCATAGTTGCCGGGGTGCCGCAGAAGAGATCTGGGTGCCGGGGTGGGCGAATTACAAGTGAATGGGAATGGACCCTGCATGGACATGGACCAATCATAAGTGCCACTCCCCCCTCCCTCTACGAACCACGTTCACGTGTAGCCAACGCTTGTTGTTTTCTCATTTTCTCTGACAATGGCTTCTCGTGTGGAGCCGAAAGCTCAGGACAATAAATTAATTGATTCAGTGCTCGACTCGTCTTCTTCCTTATCGAAGCCGAATTACAAGTATCCCCTTATGAACTCCCGACTTCACGATAATTGGCCCAGTCACCTACTTAGTCAGTTAATCGCGCATAGCCGTTATAAAGAAGCTTATCACAGTAACAACAGACTTAGAGCGCTAAACTGATTGAGTACAATGACCACACCATGAAACTGCATACCAGAGACTATGCACATGTACAACTAAAACTTAGGTCAGAGAGATTTGCAGTGAACGCAGAGAGCCTAAACCGCGTTGGCTGGAGGGCCTTGCTTTACGATCGAAGATACCCGAACAGGGGAATACCAAAGGCCACTACAAGCTACCACGTCGTATACCTTTGGGTGATGCCTACACCATCAAGAAACAAGGTCATAGTAGCAAGAGTAAGCTAATAACACCTGCATTCGTATTGGCGCACTCCCTTGATCGCGATCACCTCTTCAACTGGGATGGCACCGAGGTGATCGCCATGGCTAACAGAAGACAAGCGAGCGAATTTCTCGAAGCTGGGCACTCGAACCCGGCCAGCACGTGAATCCTGATTCACACTTCGCCGGTTTGTGCGCATGGTCCACTAAATTGCGCCTAGCGTGAAACAACAACAGTTTATCCGTGCTCGGCCGTGTAGAACTTTACTGATTCTGCATCCTCCCGGACACGTGGCCCACAATCAAAACGTTCACACCTCCCCATCTCATCTGCAGAACCTATCGCAGCAGGATTCACGTCACCGTAATCCCCCCCCTCCCACCCCATACCTGTTCGATGTAACCTCTGCGCCCAAAACCTCTAGTGTGATATTCCCAGCCCCCACTTTTCGTCTACTCTGATGACGAAGTGCTACCTATTTGAAAATTCATGAGGACAACTCGATTTGCCGAAGATGTTCTTTCTTTTCAACACCTGTGACTTTTTTATTCGCAGTGGGCTTCCTCCCACATGGATCAACTTAGGATCCATCAATGAAAAGGTGGTAAGAAACCTACCAAGACCAGAGAGGAACCACTAAACAAATTCTAAGTGTTTGACGGAGAAAAAGACTCAAGCATGGTACCAAAAAGCTGGCATTTTGGCTACCATATCGATCTGTAAATGGAGAGGCGCACAGCAATACTATGTCTGTTCCATAAAGGATAGAACGGACAACAGATCAGAACGAAGGTAGACAGCTGGGACAAGTGTGTTCAATGCCCTGTTTGAACAACAGCTGATCAATTTCTTAGTTCAAGTTATAAAAATCCGCTGCAACTACTCCCAAATCGTTATCGATATAATATCCAGCGGTAGTGATAGAGTCCAAGAAATGAACGAAAATCGAACTGGAACAAAAAGACTATGCCAGCCAAAAAGTGACTTTTAATTCGAAATAATAAAATATGATACTAAAAGGATAAAATTGGCGCTAGAACTATCTCCAAAACATCTAAACACAAACAATTTTGTATACAACCGTGTTGCCGGACGGCCAGGCGATATGAGTGTGATGCAGATTTTGCTGTTGTTGGGAAAGTTCCATATAAATAAATCTTAGTCAGCTGACGGCATGCATTTCAAGACTTTGAAGGCTCCCTTCTCCAGCTCCTCGCTAAAATAGCAAATAAATTAAGAGCACTAAATATCTTGGTTAGAAGGGTAGGTGCGCATCATTGTTTGTAAAAAAGATATCGAAAAAAAACGTTTAGCAAAGGACCTCATCTTAACAGAAAGGAGGGGAACGATGCACAATAAATGAGTAGTCGGCACTAAGAATAAGGAGAATCCTCTACTTACCGGTGTTTTGGGTCGGCAATGTTAATTAGATGGTAGGCCCGTTGCCTCAAACTCTTGCCGTACAGGTAGGCAATACCGTGCTCTGTCACAACGTAGTGAACATGAGCTCGAGTAGTCACAACACCAGCACCCTGTTTTAGGAAAGGAACTATCTTGGACTCTCCTTTGTTTGTTGTCGAGGTGAGGGCAATGATCGGAAGGCCTTTACCATCGGTACTAATGGCGGCTCCACGCAGGAAGTCGACTTGGCCACCGAAGCCTACAAGTCGGAAGTAATTGTGAGACAAGATGAACTCCGTAACTACATGTGAAATGAACAGTAAACATGGGGAGACACAGAGTTGATTAACAACTTAGCAGGTTCGCCATAAGGACAGCAAAATATTTTCCATAGTTATTTATTTGGAATGGAATAATGGCAATCGTCGCCTGCTTGTGAATAACATGCTTCCAGCATAGCCACAAACGTCTGCTGATTCGGTATACCGATCCAAAAATGGCAGTGCACTACATTGCAGCACTTTGAGTTAACTGTTAGCTGAATGCGTAATCGCAGACCGATTCGTGGTGCCGAAAGTGTCAACGCCCGCGGCAGACCATGATTTCGCCTGCAAACGATTGGAAGTTTGCTTCTCATCCGCACCCAACATATCTCTCGTGACACCTTACAGTCGTAGATTCGCGAAACACGAGAACAAATTTGAGGTTGAAGACCGTAACAAGTGATCAACATCGAGGTCTTTGATCACACAGGCACCTGAGGCAGCGCCGCGATGAGTGGCTGAGAACGAGGACTTTCGTGTTCGCTCAGATATCGCGAGCTAAATCCCACAAAGGGGATCCCTTCCAGAAACGGGAAAATTACAGCAAATCCCCTAAAGATAACCGTAAAACTATTGGGTCAGTGGTGTAACTGCCACTGGATAGGCCTCGAACGGCCGGCGACATTCAACCAACCTACTTAACTTTACACCCTATGTAGTGGTAGGTTTTCGGCGCTGAATGACTGCTCGTGCTGCGAGTGGCAGCCTTATTGTTGACAAACCGACCAAGATCAAACGCTGGCGTGGGAAGTGTGAACATATTCGCAATTTCGACGGCCAATTCATTCTCCTATCTCTCCTCGCGGAACGGAGAGGTATCCGTTCTCGGAATACAAAAATAGTGTGACTCAGTCCCAGGAAGAAATAGGCGCTGCAATACCGAAGCTACATCATAAGAGGGCATGTAGAAATCGTGTCAGCTCAACAGAATTCTAGGCGTCTGGCGTTGATATTCTATGCCCTGAATCCTCGAATTGATCCAGCAGCAATTAGTATTCGAGATTCGTTCTAATAACCGGGTCTCGACAATTCTTGTTTCCACATTCAGAAAATATGAGCTCAAGTAGGAGGACTACCGCGGTATAAGTCCGTTCGACATATCTAAAAGTTTGTTCGTTTTTTTTCTCGGACGGCTTCAAATACTGACTCGAATCAAATAATTACTCGAGTCCTGCCAATGTCAACAGTGGCGGACGTCTGTCTTCAGTGTTGAGTTCTGTTCATCCTGCGGCCAAGGGACGAATAACTGACACAGCGTTTGCCAGCAAAATATTAAAAATACTTTCACTCCATTATAATGCAAGTTCGGTCCACAATAATGTTTTGAAGAGTTTTACAAGTTTGCATTCTGACGTCGATTTTGTTGACATACGTCAAAAAAAGGAATTAACAGTGTGAACTTTGTGCCAGGACGCCACCTAACCGATCACGACGGTTGAGGATGCCGTTCTGTTCGCGAAAAGTCGTAATAATCTACCATAGGCATGGACTCAAATGCATTTAGTCAAAGAAGTTGGTTTATCCATAAAAACAGCGAAGATACAAATGTTTTCGGGCGGCATCTCTTACATCATAGTCCGAAAGGACGTTGCTTACAGGGATTTTAGG